TCTTCCGTTTGTGTTTAAGATAGTTCTTAAAATCCTTCCACAACGGAGGTAACTTCTCAATGAAAGCAGCGACTTGAAAGGCCTCATTTATGACCATACCTTCAGCAAGGAGGTCATGTACAATGACTTGTAGTTCTTGGACTTGAGTTATGACCGACCTAGTGTCAATCATCTTGAAATCTAAGAACCTTGCAGCCACGAACTTCTTAAGTCCGGCATCCTCAGTCTTGTACTTCTTCTCAAGCGCATTCCATAACGCTTTTGAAGTTTCCATGACACTATAGACATTGTACAAGCCATCTTCCAAACAACTCAAAATGTAATTTTTGCACAGGAAATCAGAATGTTTCCACGCTTCAGTTACAACAAGTCGTTCATCATCCGGAGTATTTTCAGCCATGACCGGAGGATCCTCCTTGATGAAACGTTGCAAACTCAACGTAGTAAGATAGAAGAGCATCTTTATTTGCCAGCGTTTGAAGTCAATACAGGAAAACTTTCAGGGTTTTTCTGCCGGTGCCATAGCATGAGCAGGAGTAGAACGGCTTGACGAGGCAGCAACACTCGTAACAGTAGCACCCGTTCCCGCAACACTTCCATTAGTTTGGTTTTCATTCGTCATATTTGAATTTGTTAAATCAATGAAGTTTTGATATCTTCAAACTGAATATCAAACCAAACATACAACACGTAACAATGGTGAAGTTTTTATATACTTCAAACCCGTACGTTTATTATTCCATCAAAGTTTTTATGTACTTTAAACCGGAGAGAAAGAATTATTGGAGTAGAAAGCAACAAGGCTTTAGTCTCCAAAACAGTATACAAAATATGAATAACAGTTTAATATATGTTTCAACACAGAAACGTTAGTATAAAATTCCTTAAGCTTGTAAGCGCTACTGTGTTAAAACACAAATTCAGAAAAAAACTGTTAGAAAAATAAAAGAAACTGGAAAAACATAAGAGTTTAAGAAATATTCCGAGTCCACAATTTGCTTGTGTGTCCTTAAGGAATTTTAACCCCCTCACACGTTGCCAAGGTAATGGATTAAATCCTCCCAGGATAAAACGGAATAAACCTTCCTGCAACAGTGACAATACAAACTGCAGGATACCAACGAACTTAAAGAACGGAGCAAAATCACACTTACAAATTTGAGAGAGAGAGACTGCGAATTAGAATGCAGTATATTCAGAAAGAAAGAAGTTCTGGAGTGTTTTTCGTGTATAGAAAATGGAGCCTTGCCTCAGAATTTATAGGCAATTATCAGAAGAGGTGTCTGGAAAAGGTGACGTTTCAGAAGAATACGCTGCCTGCCGCGGTTCTACCACGGTCGCGGCAGAACCGCGGTCAGAGAGGCTTTCTGAACCTGCCTGCCGCGGTTCTACCGCGGTCGCGGCAGAACCGCGGCCAGAGAGGCCCTCTGAACCTTCAGCAAGGTTCTGGCGTATTTTCAGCAGTGATTTGGCATTTAATTAATTATTAAATAATTAAATAAATTTTGTCCAAAAATAATCTTATCGATCGATCATTTGACAAATCCAAATCCAAAGCCAAAGCTAAAGCCGAGCCGAGCGAGCGACGACGACGGCGCGAGGGTTCATTCTCTTCAACTCCTTTTAAGAGCTTTAAGAAGTGATTCTATATATAAGCACACAAATGTGGTTGTCCCTCACCAATGAGGGACAAAGTGCAAGACAAAAGTTCACTTCTTCAAATTTTCAATTTCCCTCCATTTCCAATTCACACTTCTTCTACTTTAAAGCCCAATGGCTTAAAGTCTAACATGCGTAAGCCCGGCTAGAAGAGCGACTTATGAGCAACAAGAGGGACCACTCCACGATCACGTCGGCCGCTCCATAACATGTACTTTATTTTCTGCCTCTTAATATTCGAGCAAGGATCCTCTATTATATAAAGAGGATCTAAGCCTTGTAAAAGGGGGACTTTTTGACTATTGAAAATACAATCTCTCTCTTCTCTCTCTCTCTAACATTATCTCTCTTATCTTTCAGAAGTTTATCACTTTCTCTCATCAACTTTGTTTATCTTATTGTTATCCGATTCTATATTCAAGATCATCCTAGGGTTTATTATCTTCCACTACGATTTACCCCTTCATCTACATTGATTGATTTGCTTAAAAAGTATTAAACTACTTTTGGGTCAAACAATCACTTCCATAACTACCCTATCGACCGCCAAAGTCATCAACTCCACCAAAATAAAATAAAAAACTAAATCACCACCAAATCAAAAACCCAAAATTCTAAAATCACCACCTAATCAAAATCTTAAAATTAATGAATATTTTAATTTTATTTGAATTTATATAGTATGATGTTACTTAACAGGTGGGGTTTTGAATTTGACCTCATTCAGTAAAACCCATTTTGTAGAAATAGAAATGGAATAAAGAAATGTAGGTTTGTGTGACTTATTCTCTGAAGATCACATCCATACGTACACAAGAAGGAATCAAGAAAGGAACATGTAGCATTGACTTTGCGCAAGAGAAATCATAGTATTCAATTCTACTGGAAATTCATTGTTAATTGTACAATTGATGGAAACAAAGGGAAGCTCTTAGATGGAAACAACACCAAAATGACGCGGAGAAGAAAGCTGAGCATGTCCCACCAGGAGTTGACCTCGGAGTTAAAAAATGAAAGAGAAAATGACACGTTGCCTGTATAAAGAGATCATACTAAACTAGTTTTACCACATTGCACACACTGGACCAGCTATTAGGCTTTACCATTGATGTTTTATATTTCAATACCACACAAGAGGGATAATTTGTGTGGTGACCAATTTTTCGCTTAAGCTGTCTTTGGTTCTTCTAAGTGTTCCTTAACCTACTATTGCAGAAATAGTAAATGCGGAAAGTAAAGAACACAAGTATTTTATGTGGAAAACACCTAGCTCAAAAGGTGAAAAAAACCACGACCTACTTTCCAGTAGGATTTTCCCAAACCTTCCACTAAAATCACTGAGGCAAAAACTGCATTTACAGAAACTCTTTTGTAAACCTAGGACTAACTCTAATCCCGTTGTAGCACACAGCCTCAACTGTTGCGACAACTTCAAGTTAACTCTAACTTGAAAACTCTGAGTACCTAATACAATTGCTTCTAGATAAAAATGAAAGGTACAATATGAAAACACCTACTACAATTGAACTAGAATAAAAGACAGACACTTGGAACTGGTTCTTCTATCTGGTTCAAGTAGCTTCAAGTTTGCACGCTTGAATTACACACGAGCTGCTTGCAAAATTGCCTTGCTATTTTGCTCTCAATTCACGTTTAACTTCTGCTTATGTGTGTTACCTGTAAAAGAGAACAACACTGATATTTATAGAGTTAGTAAATAGAGATTGACTAGAATTCTGATGCTATTCTTCCTTGGTGGAAGAGTTCTAGTTGATCTCAATCTCTAACTCCTTCCCTTTCTTAAATCGTGTTCTCTTTGAGTAAGGAGTCCTTCTCCAATACGCAACCTTTTCGATTAGGATCAGGAGATATTACTGCTTTCAAGTTAAATTTATCTCCTTCACGTGCATCTCACATGCTTAAGTCTGTCCATACCTGTGCTCCACTAGGATGGACCTGGTTCATATCTGAGTTCCTTTATCAGTCTTCAAAACTAACCTTTACTTGGGTCAACAAATTCCCCCTTTTGATGATGACAAACTTTGTGCTTTCTCAACATCAATGCAAGGTTAGAAATTTTTCACTTATCGTCAAGGACCAGGTTCTTCATTAGGTTATAAACATCACTATTCAGAATATAAAGCACAATATCTTTTCTCCCTTTTGGCATCATCGAAAAGTTGCATAAACAAAGTGTGATTCCCAGATTTTTAAAAATTACTCATGGCCACTGGGGCAACTGCAAATGCATTCATGGATTAATCATCAGTAATCAACTACACATATTCAAACTATCAAGGAAAGATAAACACTCAACAAGAGCAAAAGCAGCAAACTTCATTGATAGAGAATATGATTCTGCCACAATCCACAAAAAGAAACAAAAAATAGTTAAAACATGAGCAAAACAAGAAAAATCCCTAATCTGGGTCACTGAGAGGTCTAGGCAAGGTTCAGGAAATGAAGGCTTAGGAAATTAAGGCTCGGAAGAACTGGAGGGTTGGGTTTTGGCTTGGAGGAGGTGCATCATGTATTTAAGAATGCCATCATTCTTCTCCTTTTCCTTTGTGAGCTCAGTTCTGAGAGCATCTCTCTCATCAACCTCTACCAAACGAGACTTCAGCCTTGCTATCTCAGCATTTTTCCCCACTCTCCTACAATAGAGCTCTGACCTTGCTATTGATAGGTGTCTTTTTAGATGAACCAGGTTCATTGGGAATGGCATTGACCTCATAATCATACGCAATCAGAGTATTGATTCCAAAATGGTCTTTGCTTGTGGCCATCTCCCACTTGTTCAGTGGCACCTTACAGTGGTCAAGAACAGTAGTGAGAATAAAACCATAAGGGGTGGTATGGGCCTTGGAGCCATTGGTAACCCGATCAAGTAGCTTGATCATAAACCCAGGCCAGTTGATCTGCCGCCCACTTTCCTGACACTCCATCAAAACCAAGTCCATGTAGTTGGCAATGTGCCTTCTTTCCTGCCTAGGCATCACACACTTGTTGACGAATTCAAACCGCACTTTGTGGGATGGTTTCATCTCACTCTTATATACAACCTTGGCCTCATTCACTTCTGTGCTATCACAGAACTTCCTAGTAATGGCTAGGGCAGTAGGAAGGGAGTCCAGACTTGGCCATTTTTGCCTTGTGTAGTCATCATAACCTTCAGAAGGAATGCCAAGGATTTCACCCAGCTCTTTTTCATCAAAAGACACATGAACCCCTTTCACCTGTCTGGTAACTCTGCCATCCTTGACCTCTGCATTGGCTATGAACTCAGTAATCTCATTTCTAGCCAGTCTGCCATCCAACTGAAGGACCATGTCTTTCCACCCCTAAACATCTAGCGCATCAACCAGTAGGACTATCCCTGGTTTCTCCAAGTCCTTCATAAGTTTACCCTTCAAGATGGTTCGTTTTCCAAACTTGGCCAGCTTATCTTGTTCATTATCAGATTCACTCGCTTCTTCACCACTCCAATCTTCCTCCTCAGTAATCTTAACTTGCTTGGCTTTCACAGCAGACCTTGTCCTTTTAGCCAAAGAAGAAGGTTCAGCAAACTTGGATACAGATGAAGACTTCTTTGAGGAAGACTTGGTCTTCTTGGGCTTAGGGGTCTGAACCTCCACAGTCACATGTTCACCCTGATGGACCGGGTCCATCTCATCCACATCAATGGCCTCAACAGGCTCTGCCACCTTAGCTTTCCCTTTGTCCATTATTTTTTTCTTACTTTCTTCCATAGCTTTTTGCAACTCATCCTCACTCTGCTTCAACTTACTTCTTGTGGCCCTTCTTTTTGGTAGAGGAATATCCGTAGTTGTTGGAGAAGCAGCCTTCCTTTTCTTGGTGGTTCTTGCAGTGCTAGAAGCTTTTGGTGTTGGAGTTCTCCTTTTCTTGGGGTTATAGCTTGCACCAACCTTCTTCAAAAGATCTTCTAGGGTCTCCTCAATAGATGAACCAGGTTCATCTGTATGTATACTGAGATTGACTAGCCCTTCACCAGCTTCCCTTGAACCACTTCCCCCTATTTTCTTGCTACTTTCTACCGCCTTTTCTGGCTCAGCTCCACAGATAGCCATTTTAACCGTTTCAGAAGTGGGTGAAGAATCAGCCACTTCTTTCCCTTTTCCCCTCACATCAGTGCTCACACCCTCACTCTCTTTTTCTTTTTCTCTTTTATTTTTACCTCCTCTCCTTCTTGATTCAGGCGTTTCCACATCCACAACAGACCCAACCAAAACAAAATGATTCTCCAGATTTTCAGCTAGATCAGAAATTACGTCAGTAGGGTGATTTAGCACAGATATTGCCTGCTCAGAATCAGAAGACCCAGTTCCTTCCCCCTCGCTCACAGATTTGAAGGAATCATCAAAATTTTCGGAATCTTGGGCTTGACTAGCCTTTTAATTGTGCGTTTAGTTTCCTTGAAAGCGCACCTATATCCACAATTTTGCCAGCAAGCATCTTTACTCTCCTTCTCCTAGGTTGAGGAGTAATGGAGGAATCGGAGGGTGTAGGTGGTGGAGCTGTGCCGGGGTTGTCTTGGGGTTGGTCATTCTCTCTAAATTCTGGAAGAAATTTGTGATTTGAGTTTTGAAAGAGAGAAGAGGTGAGAACAGAAGATTTTTTATGGTTTTGAGAATTATGGGAATGGTAGTGGTGATGATGATGGATTTTAAAGGGAGAGGGTAATTAATATGCAACGGAAGCTTTTTGTAGTCAATTAGAAGTCCAATCACTCTGAAATTTCAGGTTGAAAGGACGGTTAAGCTTCCCTAGAATCTAGGCATTTTGATACGGTGAGGAGTCTAATTGAAACAGAACTGGTTCAAACTCAAAAGGATAGGCTTTTTTGAAGTTTCTGAACATTGGTAGGACTCTGCTCATGAATTAAATATCCATATTTCTTATTGTGCAGAGTCTAGAAAACATACCTCGTTATTCAGATGAACCAGTACTGATGAACCAGGTTCTTCACTAAGAATCCTCTTGATCATGCCCCAATTTGCCAAAATAGAGAATATTTTGTTAGAGATCAGCGAGTCATATCAACACATGGCACAGGAGTATACTATTTACAGTATGAGATTGAGCAAAGATTAATCTAGATATGTACACAAGTTCCAGATTTCCTAACCAAAAATAAATAAAATTTTTTCATTGTGCATTCTAAACTGGTTCCATTAGGTGGTCTTAATCATCCCTAGTTCTAACATGTTCCTTTCAAAGCTTTCTCTACTCAGTGCCTTTGTAAAGATGTCAGCAATCTGCTTATCAGTAGCACAAAATTCTATAGTGATCAATCCTTTCTCATAGTTGTCCCTTAAGAAATGGTGTCTAACATCGATGTGCTTAGTTCTCTTATGCTGAACCGGGTTCTTAGTCATACTAATAGCACTAATGTTATCATAAAAAATAGGGATGCAACCAACTTCAATACCAAAATCCATAAACTGTTGTTTGATCAACAGCAGTTGAGCACAACAAGAAGCAGCAGCAACATACTCAGCTTCAGCAGTAGATAAGGCCACTGAATTTTGCTTTTTAGTAGCCCATGACACAAGACATGAACCAAGAAAGTGTGCCATACCGGAGGTGCTCTTCCTGTACACAAGGAAACCTGCATAGTCAGCGTCAGCATATCCCGCTAGGTTAAAGTTACTACCTTTTGGATACCAAAGGCAAAGGTCAGTAGTGCCTTTCAAGTATCTCAATATTCTCTTGACATCAGTCAAGTGGGATTCCTTTGGATTTGCTAGAAATCGAGCACAAAGCCCTACACTGAAAACAATGTCAAGTCTGCTAGCAGTAAGATACAAAAGGGAACCAATCATACCCCTATACAACTTCTGATCAACAGATGAACCGGGTTCATCCATGTCCAATTTTGTGGTTGTTGCAATAGGAGTACCTATTTCCTTTGATTCGTCCATTTTAAACTTCTTAAGCAACTCTTTAGCATATTTCTATTGATGGATCATGGTTCCATTTGAGTTTTGTTTAATTTGTAATCCTAAGAAGAAATTAAGCGCACCCATCATACTCATTTCAAATTCACTCCCCATTAGTTTAGCAAATTCCTTACTTAGTCTTTCAGTGGTTGCCCCAAAAATTATGTCATCAACATATATTTGTACTACTAGAAGATCCTTACCTTTTTCCCTCAAGAATAGAGTGCTATCAATTTTACCTCTCTTGTAGCCATGTCAAGCAAGAATTTGGATAGTCGTTCATACCATGCTCTAGGAGCCTGCTTGAGTCCATAGAGTGTCTTGTCTAGTTTGTATACATGATCCGGACACTCCTTGCTTTCAAACTCTGGAGGTTGTTTGACAAACACTTCTTTCTTTAAGTAGCCATTTAGGAAGGCACTATTGACGTNTGGGAAAAAAGAGGGGTATTGATGTATTTGTACTTAAACTAGTCTCATTATATATGATCTTTGTTAGGTGTAAATTAAGTCAGAGTGCAAGGATTAAGTTTTGGTGTTTAACTGCATTGCAATGACAATATCGAATTTGGGTTTGAATGTGGTAAGTCTAGTATTGAGTACAAAAGATAAGTACTAATTAAGAAGGAGTATTATGGACAGTAAGGTTATTTCAGTTCCAATTTATGCACACGATTAAGGAAATTGAACAGTACAGGGAATAAACCATATAAATACTTTTTTATTTAAAAGATTTTGGACTAATTTAAATTACTCATAGCATGGGTAAATATAATTCGGTGAATTGATGATAATATATAAAACTCGGAGGATTGGGTATTCTAAATTAGTGATGGATGTAGCCTAAATGAGGAAATTAACATGAGATCGATATTATGTAATTATAGACTGATTGGAGGAATTTGTACGAATTGCTCGAGGTGAAGCATTTGGTATTTCGGCACGAGTACTGTGAGTAGTAATCTTACCGCAATTTGTGTTTTCATAACTTCCATAATTTACACATGATTTTTAATATGAATATGTTACCAATTATTTTGAGTTGCATGTGGAACAAGTCTTTTACTCGATATGATACCGAAATAGTTATTTGAGATGATTACCGTTGTTTTAAATATTTTTGCTGTCACTAGATATGTTTTACCGTTACTTGAATTTTACTGTTATCTAAATGAAATTACATGATTTGATAAGAATCGAAATGCCCTATATTGTTTAAAAATATTTTCCTATGAGTATATACGGATACAGAGACAAGTATAAATGGGAGTAGACTTTGAAGGATCCTGTAGCTAACGGTGGGTTCGTTAGACCTGGTGCACCTTGTATTTACTGACTACAGAGTACAGTTATAGCCCTCGCTAGTGGGAAGGTAGAACTAGCATACCGTTACCGATTTCCCTCGAGTAGGGACTACCGTTATATTTGACTTCTTGCGAAGAAGTCCACAGTTATACCGATTACATGATCCGTTGATTGAAACCTCCCAAAATATGAATATTGATATTATACAGTGGTTACCGAGCATATTACTAAATTGTTGATTGTATTATACTACAAGAAAAGCATGATGAGACTGAACATTATTTATTATTTCGGAAAGGGCATTTTTATGTTATTTTTAGTTTGAGATACTAGCATATTTTCTGACTTGTCCCCAAATAAAAACGGTTGTGGTTAAGTGTTATTACTTACTGAGCTAGCGACTCATTCCCCGCTAATTTATTTTACAGAGACAGCAGTTGACGCGGGCGAGGATTTCGTTAATTAGAGCGCACAGGTTGATAGTTCTTGGTGAGCCTCGCACTTGTTCGCGTGGGCGGAGATTTTATTTATTGTTATAGTCTTTTCTTTGAACTCTTAGATTCGATCCATGGTCATTCTTTTAGTGTCTTGAGTAGTCTTTGTTATTATAGACTTATGTTGAGTAACACTCATTCTTATCAAATTGGGAGATAAAGTAGTATTTCTAGTTGCTAGTGGGTGGACTGTTAAAGGTAGATATTTATTTTGGTTAATTAATAAAGTCATTATCATTTTAATTGCTATTAGGATGTTTGGTTGCTGATTTGAGACAGGAAAATTTTTGGGATAGTCCAAAAATAGGGGAAACTCTGTCCGATTTTCTGTAAAATTACCGATGAGGCTTACTTGGGAGCACTTGCTCCTAAGTGTCGGTCATGATCCTATATTGGGTCGTGACAAAGTTGGTATCAAAGCTTACGCTTTATGTCCCGAGTCATAGAGCAATGTTTAGTAGAGTCTTGTTCATGGGTATGTAGGCGCACATACTTATGATCTTGAGGCTACTGAACATCTAGGAATATTTTCCCTTCTTTCATTCTTTGATCGTGCGTTGAGATAACTTGAGATTGACTTTGGAGTATTTCTTTCGCAGATGGCTAGGACACGCACACCCTCATCTGCTGGACGTGGTACTACCCGGGGTGGAGGTCAAGTTGGGGTTCATCAAACTAGAAGACAGACCGCTCCTCAATCTGAAGTTGGGAACATGGGTCAACCCCAAGCTGCGATGACATATCAAGTGCAAGGGCAGGGAGTTCAGGATGCTCCACCACTAGTGCCAATTGTTGTACCTACTGTTGCCTTACTTGCAGACGCAGTGGCAAGGTTATTGAATGTGTTAGAGGCATTGGTGCCTACTCAGGGTGGAATTGCAGCTTCTCAGGCTACTTTACAGACACAAGCACCTACACAGACTCAGACTTTCGGGAATAAAGAAGTATCCCTACAAGAGTTCCTGAAATTGAAATCACCTAAATTTACAGGTTCCAATAATTCAGCAGATCCTCAAAGTTTCTTGGATGGGACACTCAAGGCATTACGTGCTCTAGGATGTTCTAGTGAGAGAGCTGTAGAGCTCGCAGCATACAAACTAGAGGATATGGCCAACACATGGTATGAAACTGTATTGCTAGGAAGGCCAGCAGGAGCAGCACCACTGATATGGGACGAGTTCACTAAGTTGTTCAAGAATCATTCCTTCCCGACAGCCTGATGCAAAAATA